ATTTGTACTGCAATGGCCTTCATGAGCAGCCCGAATAATGGCGAGAGGTTCACAGTAAAGGGTGGTTGTGGTCGATATTACACGCTTCTCGCCAAGAATAAAGTTCAGCAGGTAATGTGACAAGACCTTTCCGACATACTAGTTATAACACTCTGTTAATGTATTCGATCATTTCTTCGTTGAACACCTCGGAATTATTATCAAGTGGGAGATCTTTGTTGCACACAATGCCTTCATTTCGCTGAAGAAATCAGGATAATTAGCACAACTATTATTAACGCATTCGTAGAACGTATGAAAGAACCAAGAAGATTTCTTTTTCGTGTTCTTTTGATTATTAAGATATGTGATATAATAGTTACAGTATGTAATCTAAGAAACACAGGAAACGTTTGCGGTTATGAGCGAGAATTCTCCCATTCGGAGATTTCAGTACATGTACAGCAACTAAAAGCGAAACTTAACAGTTTCGAGAACGTTATTCAGCGTTAAATTGAGACCCTATTGAGATGAGAACTTCGACAGATAATAGGCAGCAATGGTCACAATAATTAAAATGCAAATATCCACTTCTCTCTACTCCCAATACAAACAACACATTAGTTGAGCTAATATTCTCGAGGGCACATCAACCTATACACGCTGCAGTAATGAAGTATGGACGCAGGACCCGGCTGCTTCACGCGTTTCCGTATCCCTTCCTTTTCTTCTTTAGGTAAATTGCGGTGTTCATACTTCCAAGTGACTGTAACCTGGAAAATGAGAACTGGTAAACATCCTAAATATCTGCAATAACCGCTCGTCGCTATGGACCGAGCCTAGCCCAAAAAAGTACAAATCTTCAACTTGACTTTGTATTCGATGTCCTTACCCTAATCTGGAGCACTCCTTTAGTAGAGCTGCTTTTCGTTTTCGTTTTCAGCATTGTCACCTCTTCCCTAACCTTAAAGAATGTGGATCAAAGGGGGCCACCAGCTATGCTGAGGGATTTTCAACATTGTAGTCGAACTGTTGCAGCTATTTCTTCTCCAAAGTTAGTTTACTTATTTTTTCATGCACATCGATTTGCTACAAATTCCCGATCACTGCATGCACATCACAGAATGTATCCCTATATTTTCAATTCGCAAGTTCATAAGGGTTTTTGCCCATATTTGTTTTTGTCCGTAATTGCCTGTAAATAATTGAAAACGCTTGCGATCACCCCATTTTTTCATGCGCTGGAGCCGTTCGATGAACAAAGCTGATAAATCTCGGGAAGTCATTATATTTTGACTGCGAAAACGGTCGTTTTGTTCACTTCTTCCAGGCTTTTCTCGATGAGCCAGAAACCTTACACTCTAAACTTTGTTTTCTCTTATTTTCAGCAATTTCCCTTTCTGAGGACTATTTCCATATGACACTCTACTCTGTGACCTACATTCTTAATTCTTTCCGTCGACCCTTCAGACATTGTAGTGTCTTGATTCCTCTCCAATAGCTCTCTTCTCCATCAGAGATTGTTTCATATTTTCTCTTTGTTTCGCTCCCCAGTACTCCATTTGAAAGCGATACTTTTCACGCCCGTTTTTTTACTCTATGGTTCTATTTCTAGGTTAGGTCTTCATTTTATACTGGAACTACTGGCTGATAGGCTTGACGCTTGTATGCACCCCAGCTGAGAGTACGGGATTTCGGAGGAGTTCGTCACAATGTTTGGCCTGCCATTACTAGCCCCGATCTCAGGTAAAAGCCCCATCCTTTCACTGCTGCTCTTGTCGCAACTATAACGATGCAACGAGGCACTGTGCTGATGGATAGAAGACGATCCAGCAAATGGACTTAAAGCTGATGAACGTATCTGATGAACCATGATTGATGGTCTCTTACACAGAAATTGTGCCTCTAGAAGGCTTACCACCGTGAGAACAATATTATTCACAGCTAGGCGGTCAGACTAAAAAAATTCGACATAGGAAATCAGGCTAGCTAAAATGCAATATGCACGTAAGGATTTGGAAACACCAGACTACTACATGGCACTTGACAACGACTTTCTCTTTACCAGTATATTTACTGAACACTGTACTGGAATCTACAAAGGATGAGATGCAGATTTCAATCACACAGATGCTGGCGTGTCCACTACCTTCACCTTCAAGAGCGGCCCACAAAGCTCGCGAATCTGAAAGGTAGAGGTAATGTCGAACGCATCAACGCAGGAAAGTAGCAACCTAACAAAGCAAACCGTTCTGATATATCATCCTCCAGCAACAGCTAGTAAAGCACTGTGATTTACTTGGTCTAAAGGACAATTCCAATTAGTCTTTCTACATATCCGCACTTCTTGTCCGAATTTTACTTGCTCGACTCATATTGCATGATTGTACCTACTGCAGGTCCTTAAAATCAGGCATGGTTGGAAATTGTGATGAGAGTCAATTAACTCTCAGGCAAAACCAGCCAATTCGCCAGTTTAGCCGAAAACGCGCATGTGGACAACTTTCTGCTCCGCTAATCCTGCTCTGAAACCGCACTATGACAACTGCCTCTTGAGAAGGTATGTAGGCAGTGCCAAAGGCAATCTGCTCTTCACACCTCTTCACACTCACGATCCACGGTAGAAGACAAGCGCCTCTGCCTCTCTGAATGAACTATGGTCTCTGCACAGCTGAGGAGAGAAAAAGGAACAAAACAAAGGGCGAGCTCAAAAGACAAAATGCACTACCATCTTATGTAAGTGCAGGTAAGAAAACGGCTTGTATTAATCGAAAGCAGAGCTCAAATCTGCGACAGCACGAAGAGCTCAACTCTGCAACAGCATGATATACTTTTTTTGGTAGACGATTTATCAGAGACGGTAGTGGACCAACTCGAACTCGCGACCAAGTATGGTGAGTTGCTCGCAGCTTATGCAGAAGAGGGAACGACGTATGTGCGAGGCAACCACACTAAAAACTACGAACTTCGCCAGGCTGTCTGCAAAAACTCGCCGAGTTCAGTGCTGATCAGTTCACCATGAAAGTGCCAACATGCATCGTTGTCGCTACGCTATCAGTACAACATCAGTGCTGCTCTGGTCTCGCAGCACTAGCGAAGAACTGGTTATGAGCAACAGCTGAACAAGGCGACATAGCGACAAACCATAGGGTTTTCCGACCACACTGCGATGTTTTAAGAGACACACAGAGAAACATAAACGGTCGTATCATCCAGGAAACTCACTTCGATAAGTATAGAAAGCAGCGGTTAAACATTCCTATAAAGTCAAAGCATGGACTGATGTCATGTAAACTCTAGTGTTCCATCAGCTTATCCACCACACGTGAAAGGACACGATTAACAAGAAAAAGATCAGAAAGGGCCAGAGAAGGGATCAGATGGAGCCTCGACCTGAATGAATGCGAGCCCTATTCATTCACTGTCTTACCCTCTCCAATCGCACACTCTACACAGACTTTGTAGCTGGCGCTGCGCTTCGTCTTTTCGACTGTAATTTCGTGGCGATCGTAACCTTACTTCCGTAACTTTCCGACAACGCCTCGGTCAAACCTCGACTAGCAGGATCAGCTCAAAGGTGTGCATTTCGTGAAAAGTAGTTCTGAAAGAATTTCTACCCGCGTATAATTGCGGTACCGTCCGCGCTTTCGCATTTCGTGTTATCCCTTCTAGTCTTTTGTTTCTCGTGGTGGAATGTAACAAACTGGCAACTGCACTGTCGGCACTCAAATGGAAGAAAAAGTTGGCCCTGACGACTGTGGGCAAAGTCGACATCAACCATCTGACCATTTTCACTCAGACTCTCGCAAATTAGGCGTTTTGAGTGTCAATACATTCAGCAGGATATGCCTTGGGGGGTGGGGGGGAAGATGATACCATTAAAGCTGGCTGTGCCAGCTAATGGTCACGTAAGCAACTCAGTTTGGAGCACATTATTTACCGTCGATTTGAATTTTTCCTCAATTTCACACTTATTTCGTTACGCCTTAGTAGCAGATTTTTCTCTAGAATTGAAAATTCTTCTTTGTTGTCCGTCGATCGTGGTGGTGATTTGGGCGATAGGTTTTCCTGTAACTATATCCCATTACTCTTCGGGCTTTTCGGAACTTGAAGCCATAGTGGCGTGTTCTCGATAAGTTCAGCTTCCTAGATGGTCGCCACTGTCGCGATGACATAAATCTGCCTTTCCTGAAAATATTTTAACCCAAGGAGCAAATAATTGTACTTGCCGTTGTGTGAATTAAGAGAGTGCGAGAGAATTGAGGCAAATTTGGGGAGGGAGGAGAAACACTACAGTTTCTGGCGGTATACCTTGTAGTAAACTCCATGTTCGCCTTTCTTGTCGAAACACCAGGCGCAATAAAATATTACACCGTAAGAAAGAGTCCGGCATAAGAAAGAGTCTATCAATACTATAGTATTTTTTTAGAGAAGTAGCACAGTGAAGTTTGAATCTCTGCTGCGCTTCATCTTTCTAAAAAGTCTTCGAGGCGTTCCAAAATTTTTCGTGAAAACTTTCAGAGATAGATTTTTTGGCATTAATTAGTGGAACCAGCAATATGGAAACTCACTTCTTCAGGGTTACTAGTTCGTTTCGCAGTGTTGCCATAGTTCATGCTCAGCTGTCGTGAAATGTTCCGCGTTTTTGGTGGGTATGTGGGTGCTGAAAAAGAAATCGGGTATGTTTCGACTCCCATTGCCCGGGGAGACTAACTTGCCGTTTCGGAACCGTTTTTCGAAAAAAGGGCGCTGATTCTCGCTTCACCAAAAAGGCCGCAAAACGTTATTAAAACCTCAATGAAATATGACTCGCACTACTATAGGGCTCCCACATTATCTATCGAGGGCGATATGGTATACCGAATAAAGGTGTTATTTTCAGGGGGAAAAAAATTAGCGAGGCGGGTTGACAGTCTTGAAAAGATTGCGACGGGAATATTCGGCTCGCCGTTTTGATGATGAGGTCGAGTTCGATAGCTCGACATTTCAATCCCACATACTCTCATAATAGCAGGGAAGTGCTCTCCCGGCGCTGTGATTAGAATCTCAGAATCGTACGTAAAAAGTAAAAATCGGTAGCACCTTTGAACTCTGCTTAACACTGCTGAAGATAAGCAAACAAAGAGAAGTACAACTCTATCATTGGCAAAATCTCCTAGAGAATCATTGCTTTGCGCTGAATCGCTCTCTTGTTCATTCTTTATAGGGTTTTGAACTGCCTACAGCTCGAGCATAGAACCGAAGACTCCACTTCTGAAGAAGGAGGTGATGTAGTGTCAAAAGGCACGCTCGCCACGTGCGCGGTCCGGACCGGCTCCCGCCCACACCGACCTGACCTTTTATCTTCGGGGAGGGTGAATCAGTACACGATCCGTCTGGGAGGATAAGAACACCAACCTGTACATCAGCTGACCAGCGTAAATCTTTTCATCAGTAAGGCACTGAGATTCTGGTTGGAAGTAGGATGTGTGCCGCATCGCAAATAGGATTTGATTACCGGCGGAAAATTACCCTTCACCCATGGAATAACTTTTTCAAAGCTTTAGTTTCAATTTTTTCAGTTGTTGTCATGTTCATTTTATATGGGATAAGGCTCTTTATAGAGCCTTTGTTCCTCAGAATGGTGTTTCAGTTCCGTTTAAAAAAAGCAAGTGTCAAAAATGGCTCACCCTGGCGGCTAATAGGATGGAGGAGTCTCGACAGAGTTTGAGGCATGATTTTTCTTCGCTAAAATAAACCACAGATGCAGCAGAAAGAAAGCGCAACTTTCCACATGATTGAATTTTCAAAACGAATTTTTCAAGGATCATCGACAGACTAAAGCTGACCGTAGGAGGAATGATGTCGAGAGGTCGTCGAGGTAGGTGCCTCACATTCAACGATTTCGCGTCAAACGGTGAAAATGAATCTGTTCGACCTTGACCTCTGTTCGAATGCACTTGCTTCAGTGAATCCCGCTCATCCTCTCTTGACGAACCGCCCATAACAGCATCTGAATGAAAGCAACATCTGAGTCCCTGTTCAGTAAGAAATAGACTGCTTAAACAGAGATCATGTAAAAAAAATTCATGTTCACAAAGCAATACTAAAATACCGAGAAATTGCATTGAAGGTTTCTACAGCTGGAACTCTAACGATCATGCGAACCGGCGGCGCATTGAATGAGCTAATCGCAGCGTTTCGCCACTGGTTTTTTTTTCCAGAAGCGATCACTATTGGTAGATAACGCTGCCAGAGGCGCTCTCATCCCCACCCCTCCTGACACAGCCTCCCAGCATAGCTTCGATATCATTTATGTTTACTAAGGCAACGTTCAGACTTGTAGCGCTGCAACTGTTGCGCTACGATCGTCGCGC